AAGTTGGTTGTGGTGTGCCAGAACCGGCAATGCAGGTAGGCCTGTAAAGAGGGCCCACCCTTAAGGTGTAAAGAAAGGTAAATTGAATGTATAGAGGGAGTGGAGGGAGGGGACATGCAAATCACTAAACGAGGAACGGTACAAGGGAAGGTTAGGAGTCCCTTTAAAAGGTAACTAAGCCCCGCCCACTAACCCAGGCAAAAGCCTTAATACTTGTGTCCCGGGCACAAAGGATGTATAGAGTGATAGAGAGAAAATAGGAATAGCGTAATACAGAATGAAAAAAGTTGGTTGTGGTGTGCTGGAACCGACAATGTAGGTAGGCCTGTAAAGAGGGCCCACCCTTAAGGTGTAAAGAAAGGTAAATTGAATGTATAGAGGGAGTGGAGGGAGGGGACATGCAAATCACTAAACGAGGAACAGTACAGGGGAAGGTTAGGAGTCCCTTTAAAAGGTAACTAAGCCCCGCCCACTAATCCAGGCAAAAGCCTTAATACTTGTGTCTGTGGCACAAAGGACGTATAGAGTGATAGCGAGAAAATAGGAATAGCGTAATACAGTATGAAAAAAGTCGGTTGTGGTGTGCCGGAACTGATGATGCTGGTAGGCCTGTAAAATAAAGAGGGCAAAATGGAGATACAGTAAAATTTTTAATACAATTAACATATATGCTTATAAACACACGGTTATTTTTAAAAAGCTTGACGGAATTCCTGTACTGGTTATGGAATGTTGTACCGGTATAAACCTGCTATAAGCCATGGATGCCGCCTCTATAGAGTGATCAGAATAATGTAAGGGTTAAGGCCTAGTCTTCCTGATTAATGTTCTGACATGACGTATGAATGAGATATATTTTGATGGTTTGTGAGATAATTAAGTTTAAGGTGGCAAAAAAACAAAACAAGCCCTAGTAAAGAAATCATAGCAAAAGTGTCGGTAATATGATGCCAATACTTATCCAGAGATACGTAAACAAAGAGTGTAAATGAGCATGCATCATAATGAAAGGAAAACAGTTGAATGTATACATACGGTAGACCATGCATGGCCAAGTACAAAGAGCCAAGCCTCTTGTCAGCCCATAAATATGCTTGTATAAGCGAGGAAACCTATAGGTGTTGAGTGTACCCTGATAGGAGTGATAATACCTTGATCAATTGAACTAATCTGTCATGAAAAATATAGAGGCAATTAAAGACCACTTACCTGTGACATGAAATAGTAATGAATGGATAGACACTGGGAGACCACTAAGGGTCCAACTTGAACTACCTTAGAGGAGAAATACAGTGTACATGAAAAGCTGGAATTTGCTGTACACGTGAGCCATACGATGGCTAAAGTAATTTGAGTAAACATAAAAGTGACAACCAATATATACCTTGCAAACAATTTAGGGGTTCATACAGTGGCTGACTGGGGTAACACTGTAGAACAAGAAGATTAGTATAAGCAATTAGACTAAACCAGGTGGCATCAATATAATTAACAGCATATAACATAAAACTTAAACTATTATCATTGAGATTAAAATTTAATTAACGATGAACCTCTTGAAAGTATGTGACTTGAGAACCTGTCACGTAAATGCCCTTGTTGGCAGGTGATTGACGGATACATAAACCAATGCCTAAGAATTAATGGGATAATCCAGAGACAGATAAGTGATGAATGTAGAGAAGTGACGAGGGTCAAGTTGATAACCAACTTATCTATGAGAAAATTATCTTAGTGTAGAATAGGTGGAGAATCAGAAGAGTAGCAATGTTGGAAAAAATTAAATTGTGTAAGTAATTGTGGATCAGTATCAACAAGAATACATGATGGAACAGTATTTACATAGACTATAAAAGTGGACAGACAAGTTGAGTAGAATTGTAATCAAGCTAACAAATGTATTGGAAGCCATCCACCAACAACCCCTAATTAGGATAACTAAAGCAAGTAAACCTGCTTTAGCAGATGAGCCCTGTGAGGGCTACGTATAATGTATGTACCGTGCATGAATGTATAGGTTAATATTAATATGTATTTCTTAACCTTAAGTATGAGTCTGGCATACATTAATACAGTCAGTTGTGGCACCTGCTATGTGGGGGAGGCAAGTTGAATTACATATAAAAATACGTATAGAAATAGATATATCTTAGTAAGGGCCTTATACCTTAATCTGAAAGAATCAGTGCTGTGATGCTATGTTTTGATGAAAAGCTGAATTGTACTAGTAGTGAAATTCACCCTGAATGAACAAAAACATACATTTTGAGAAACAGTTAAATAAGCTGCAGTTGGTCAGCCACAGAGGCTTCTATGAGTACGAGCGGAGAGTGGTTTAACTTAATGATGAGATTTATTGGGATTCTCTCTATTTTATCCTGTTTTTGCTTTTATTGATTATTTGCATATAGCAACACCTTTACCTTTAAGGAAATACAGGATATCTGATTGTATATTAACGTTTTGATTGCGTATTTATAGACTCTATGCATTTAAGAACACTTGTGGACAATGAAGTTTTAACAAACATTGAAACACTATATTGGAACGCATAAACACTATTGGTATTGCATGTATTTCGTAGAATAATGTTTATTGCATGTCAATAAGCCGGAACGCATGTGCAGTTTAATCTTGAAGGAACCGGAAATAGCAGTGGAACGACGCAAGACGCTGGAACGCACGTTGCGTTCCAACGAGCCGAAACTGGAAACTGGAAGACCAAGACAAGTGCAACATTTAAAAGAGAAGATAGACAAGAAGACAGAACATAGCCAACCGAGGAAGCCCGTTTTACGGGTGAAACGCGTTTTGGAAATTATTGAACTACAGAGTCACCCAGAGACACCAAATATGGTACTTTTATTTTACTATTTTATTTGTGAATTTTATCTAATAAAACACCACCTTGGAAGACCTACTCTTGGTATCCTGCATGTATACTTCTGGGACAGCAGAGTTTGGGTAATACCAACCAGCCTGAAGGTCCAACAGTGTGTACCCCAGGGAGACAACTTGAAGAAGGAACTGGACATCCTATAAGTGTCCACAGGCACTTATCATTTGACTCTCGACTTGTGAGTGATACTCCTTATGTTTACATATTACATTTTAACTGTTCCAACAATATTGCACTATTGTTTTGCATTTTTATTTACAGATTTATAACGATTCTAACTCAATTTAGGAGCTCCACCTTATTTATGTATATGATCTAATTCCAACCCAGGCCAAAAGCCTTTCTAGGTAAAGATAAGGTCCTGTGTCGAATGACCTCCTAGCTCCTTTTACAAGCCCTGCATTGGAAGCAGGTTAATCTGCGAAGTTTGGGAGGCGGTATCTCGTCTTTTTCACAATGAGTGTGTATTTGATAGTTAGAGTGGGATGTGTATAAACTATGTGTCCCCCTCCACTCTTGGTGGGGCACAGTATTGGGTGCAGCTGGAATGTTGTGGGTACGTATCCAATGAACCATGTGATACGTCGGATTGTGCTGGGGGGCTACCTCGCCCCTTAAGTCATCATGTGAGGTGTCCTATCAGGATAGCCTTGCAATGTGTTCAGTAGGAGTCATCCCAGTCCCCCCTCCTTATCTCCACCTGCGGTTCCGTTTCCCTTTTTCCCTCCCCCTTTCCTCCCTCCCTTTTCCTTTCTTCCTCCTTCCCATGTTTCCCCTCCCCCTCCTTTTCTTTAGCTCCTCTTCCTCCTTCCATTGCGTTGTTGTATTCCCCCCTCCCCCCATGCTTATCTCTTTTCTATCATCTTCTCTAGGTGTCCCCTCTCAACTGTGATAGTTAGCGTATGTATTCCTTCTCTCCTCCACCTCCGCTCTAACAGTTGCCCCATCTCTTGGTTTCCCTCCCAGTGTCCCTTCCATTTACCCAGGCGGCTGACCCTACCCTCCCACCCATCCTCCCCTCCACCCCCGCAACAAGCCCTCATCTTCCTAATACTCCTTCCTATGCTAAATCACCCACGGCTGCCTTCTGTTTTGCTGTTGGTCGTATAGGCAAGATCCCCCCATTTGTCAGTACATTGTGTTCCCGCTAAGACCTCCCCTCTCCTTCTACATTTGGTTCCGGGATAACCAGGGAGAGCCTGCTAGATGTGTGGCCCAGGTTTGGGTCTTCTTTGGCCCCCCCTATGGCGAGGGCTATCAGTTCCCGTCCCTGGCTGCCTCAGAACGCAATCAGGTGTGTCCCCCACTTGTGTAGCTTTATATTCACAGGGTCAAACAATAAGACTTACCTCCTGTGGCAGAATAACACATATAGAATTCAGTAAATGGAGTTCAAATCCCAAGAGTTCCATAGCTTGGATGACATACTTCTCACCTAATCCTCGACATACTCCTCACCGTATTCCTAGTCAAACCCGAGTCCCTGTCCCAGTATGGTCGCACCTATATGAACTTTTATGTACGGCCCACGTAGACAACTTCACTCCCTTGGGTGTTCATCTTGTTCCCCTTGGAGGAGGTGATTGAGTATCTAGCAAAGGTGGTGTGTGTGTGTGTGCCCCCTACAATACCTTAATGGGCACAGCCTGTTTCTGTCCTCATTTGTCTGCTCTGGTTGGGTTCGAGTACCACCAGTGCTGGGGGCCCACTGGGGAGTCTCCTCTTCATTGTTGCGGCTCTCTGCGGACGGGATTCCAGGTCCAAGGGCCTCAACACCCAGTTTACAACATGCTGAGTCAGGAGCTGGAGCTTACTCAGAAATGCAGGTACATCTTCAGGCCACCTGATGGTTAGTCGTTCGTTCTGATGACGTGCAGAGAGACAGAATGGGAAGCCCCATCTGTAAGGGATCTGGCGTTCCTGTAACAAGGCGGTCACTGGGCGTAGTGCTCTGCAGGCTTCCAGTGTGAGTGGTGATAGATCGTTATAAAGCACGACTTGTGCTCCCCGGAATTCCCAGGTTCTGTTTCTGACAGTGCTCATGATGTTTTCTTTGAGTTGGTATGAGCTCAGGCTACAGATGATGTCCCATGGCATCATTTCATGGTTGTGAAACTCGATGTGCCCGTATGAATCCAAAGTTGACAGGGACTTCATTGCGGAGGATGGTGCTGAATAGGCAGGTAAGTACACAGTTAACCTCTTCTTCCCCCTCTGGCTCCGGTACCCCGCGCACCTGGATATTATTCCTGTGGCTGCAGTTGTCCAGGTCTTCTACTTGGCGCCGCGTATCTATCAGAATGAAACCCTGCCTCCTCACGGCCTGGTCCATGGCTGTCGTCCTCTCTGCGTTGTTCCGAGTTGCGTCCTCTAGGGCCTGTACCCGGGTCCCCTGTGTGGTAACTTCAGTACATAGCTGGGACATTTCTGCCCCCAGAGTTGCTGTGAGCTCCTGCAGATCTTGTCTGATGACCATGGAAGTAATCAGGGTGAGTAATTCTCTGCTAATGCCTTCAAGAGTGGCGTGTCCCGATCCCGTCGGGGATGGTGGCCACGCTGCAGGCCCCAGTCGGAGTGAGTAGGTAACCATCCATTGAGCCCATGTGGGATCTACTGTTCGTGTTTTTGGGGGTCTGGGGTTATTCAGTGTGGGGTGGCTTCCCCATAGATACAGTAGATGAAGTGCGTATTTTGTGCGTATTAAAGGCTTGTAGAAGCAGAGCTCACAGCTTATGCCGCCATTTTGGTCAGAGTCCCGACCATGCCCCCTGTAACAAAACCCCTCTTCGATTTGCAGTAGTTATGGTGGTGTTGTTCCTTCCTACAGTAATTATGGTTTGGGCCTCCTTGCTAATGTTTTATTTCCACCAAGTACCCACTCCTAGACTTCGTTTTCCATTGCCATAGCTGGATTGTATATGCTTCCTGAGGTGTTTGTTAGTTGGTTCGGTAAATAAAGACATTATCACGAACAGGGTTACAGTATTACCAGTGACTATTTGCCATGGGGGCACCATGTCTTGATGAGAAGTAACTGTAAATGTATCAGTGCCCCGACCTGACACCCGAGGCCGCTGTGCAGTAGGGGGTAGTTGGTGGGGTGATACTGTAGTACCTTGGGACAAGCATGGCTGTGCTAGGGCCCCCCCCCAACTGTGTCTTTAGCGTTCATGCAGACCTTGGGTGCCGACTCACCAATTAATGTGTGCTCTGCGTCCTGTAGTTGCCTCCCAGCGGCACCCCCATTAAAGTGGGGGCCCACTCTCCGCTTTTTTTGTGCCCCCTTATTCCCAGGTGCGCTCAACCTCCTGCTGCCGGAATCTGTGGCTTTTTTGCGACCGCTGTAAAGTGAGGCGTTGCGTAAAACTGGCCGAAAACGTCATTACGTGGCGGACCTCCAAGTTGTGATGCAGCTCTAATATTTTGTCAGCAACCGCTACGAGGATTTACCCTGCCGTCTCCACTTGCAGGGATTAATAGGGAAGGGGATCTCTACCGGAATAGTCTTCGCATCTATTGGGATTTGGTCACTGTGGTGGCCTTGTGTGGCGTGCAGTCCATCGCACTGGAAACCCCGATGCTCCTGCTGCTCCAATGGAGAGGCCAAAACGTTTCTGCTTCCAAGCTACCCCATGATCAGTCACTGCTGCCCAGACATGAGCATGAAGGCCTCAACATTCTGATCCACAACCATGATCCTGAAAAACAAAAGAGAGAGCTCCACACCCACATGTTGCAACAACAGGTAAGTGTGAATTAGTTAAAAAGAGGGCTCTCCCTAAAAAGGCCACTATTTATGTGGCTATAGGCCACCCCTTCCCAAATACTATAATCCAATCCCCCTATCCATATGCCTGCCTCCTAGCTAGGCCAAGTCCCACTCCACTTAGCTGTTCCCTGGGCTTCTTTTTTCACAAAAGCTTATCAATTAAACTTTTAATGGCTCCCAACTGATTCCTCTCCTGCAACTGTCATAAAAAAAATTAAAACACAAGTCTTCAATGAATACTATTCTACCAATCTACTTCCCTAATACTTCCCTTCCATTTTATGTCACTTTGCCCCACTCCCTCTAGCATGTAAGCTCATTGAGTAGGGCCCTCAACCCGTCTGTTCCTGTGCGTCCAACTTGACTGGTTACAATGACATGTTTGTTAGTGCACCAATTGTACAGCGCTACGGAATTTGATGGTGCTATATAAATATAATAATAATATACATTATATATACGTTAGTATATGCTGTTACCAAAACTATTAATTGATTGAATAAATATTAAACTAAATTAACATAGTGGAAAAAGGCATACACATAAGTTACCACTCCAACGTTCTACAAACTATGTATTATTTCAAGCAGATGCAGAGAGAGAGAAAAGGGGAGAGTGTGTGGAGAGGGAAATTCAAAGAGAACGAATGTGGTACTTTGCAAGGCTTTTAACAGGATAAGTCCCCTCCTTCTTCTGGGCACACCACCATCAGCCAATTTTTTAATGAAACATGGTGAATCCTAGGAGAAGAGAATTACATTAAAAAGGGAATGGTGGGGGGGAGGAGGTTAACTAACAGGAACTGATTTTGCCTTGCCATGTGCTTTTAGAGAATCCCGATATTGCCTATGCGTAGAATGTGGCTTGACTTGCTGTACAAACACAATGACTTCAATGGTATACAGTTGGCTGTTAAGTAATACTTTAATACCTTATAACATCCCTCCTATTGGCAATGAAGTGGATGAGACTCTATAAAACTCACCAGAGATAAGAGAGGGAGAACCTATCCAGCAGTGTATCTACTTATGTGAATGCCCAGTGCACTACTTCAACAGAGTTCTTTCCATGTGTATACCATAATGGCCATGACGTACTCGAACAATCAATGGCTTCAAGTAACAACACATACCAACCTGAATAATAATGCATACTACAGAAACACACAAAAAATAATAAATGGTGAATTAACCCCTTAACGCCGTTATGGCGTTCTATGCCGTCCCGTTTTTAATGGGCTTTAAAGCCGTTGCGGCAGCATTGGATGCCGTAATGGCTTTGAGCCCTGGAGCCGCCGGGATACTCACCTTCCCGGTGATCCTCTTCGGTAGGACTGCCTGACAGCCCAGGCAGCCATCCTAAGGCAAATCAGGCCCCCGGGCACCATGTGATTGCTCTCAAAGAGCGATCACATGGTCCCTATAGCTGCCTGTGGATCTGTCAGCAGAGGGACTGTCAGGCAGTCCCCCTGCTGGTTGGAAATTAAAAAAACAAAACAATTAATACATCAATAAAAATAATTATATATACTTATACTGCGAGGGGAAAAATGTTAATGTGTATGAGAATGGAACATGCTATATTTGACCCTGTAGCTTTCCAAAACACCATAAAACCTGTTCATATGGGGTACTGTTGTACTTGTGGACATCTCTGACTACAAATATGTGTATTTTATTGCAGTAAAAGCCAACAGTATTATAACATTTACAGTTAAAATGCCATGCAAAACTAAAAAAAATTAAAACAATCTTAATTTCTCACACTTTTAAAGATTTTGTTTCATAATAAATTGTTATATATATGAATAGTTGATGTGAAATGAAAGCCCTGTTTCTTCTGAACATAATCATATATAATAAGCGGGGGTGGACTTAATATGAAAGAGGTAAATTACGGTTGAACAGACATATAGCGCAAATTCCAGGTTTTGTTTACGTTTTGTTTTGATCAGAACGTGCACAGTGTGCCCCATAATGATTGCTTATAAAATGAGTTTTTTAATTTTTGCCACCATGCTATACCAGCAATGTCAGTAAATAAGTGTTCAAGTGATTGAAGGTGGTGGTGAAAACTTACTGGTGAAAGAACCTAGCATGAATACATTCTCCAAATGTTTGCAGATATTGTACTAATAGATGGCCTGACTTTAATTGATCAACCCATTCTTGCCAAGGGGTATCCTCAGTTATACTAGGCTCTATTAATGGAGGAACCAGGGTCATGTTTGTAAGTACTGTCAAGTTAAATTGGTGTGTACTAATTCTTGTGGGATTCCCAGTGACACAATAACATCCCTGTGTAATTAGTTCCCTCAAAGAGCAATGTTAATACCAGACTTGTACTTCATCTTTTCGCTCTCATGAGACAAAGCACAGCTTTCCCTGCCCCATTGGAAATACCATGGCAGCAGGATTTACTTGTTCAACAATTCCTTTGCAGTATGAATGGTTATGCCAACATGAATCCAATATGGTTCTGGCTTGGTTAGGTAACCATAGGATCTTCTTGAGAAATCTTAAGCAACCTTAGAAATCAACTTGCTGTCATTCTTGACCATTCATACCTACATTAGGATATTTCAACTCTTGATGCAACACCTTTGACTCTGTGACAAGTTTTCCCATTGATAACAGTTGATAGCTAATCTGATAAACACCACTAGATGGCACCAGGGAAGTGGCCCTACAGTTATTACCCTAACCTCCCACCCAACTGCTAATCCACAGAGTTCTATGATCATAGGCAAACCTACTTATTTCTGGTAGTTCCCTATTCCCCAGTTGAATATGGTTATCATCTAAGATTTTCACTATTATCGTATCTGTAGATAGTTCACTTTGCATGGACAAACAAACAAAACCCCATGAAACCTGTTTTAATTTCTCAATTACACAGATCAGTATTTCTTCTATGTGTAGTATTGCTGAACAGTTTGTCTTTATTACATTCTGTGTCAGACCCTCCATTTATGTTCTGATGGTTCTCTGAGTTTGTATACCTTTGGAATTTAACCTCAGACTGGAGTGTTGCAGTCATACTAGATATGTCAATAGAATTTACTAATCCTAACCTGGTGCCCATACCTCCCACAACCGTACCCAAGATATCCGTCCTATTCCTAACCCTGCTTCTTGTCGCACATCTGACTAAAGCCTTTTCCATATTGGATGTGACCCTAGAACAGTTTTGAAAGTCATGCAGCTAGCCAATCTGTTAGTGTTATATCCAAAGTAATCAATTGGAAAGTAACATTCTGGAATATTAGGGTAGGTCTCAGTGAACTGATTTGGAAAGGACCACTACAGGCCACTCTATCCTGTAGACACTTAGGTCTGCTTCCAGTATCCATTAGTGGAGGAGTTGTATTAACATAAGTGAAAGGAGGAGCCAACATTCTAGGCTCTATCTCTTCCTCTATAGTCAACAGTACGTTCACTTCCCCACCCTTGTTGTGTCCTACTATTTCCCAATTTATTCCCTATATAATAAACATATCCACTATAAGATGTGTAATATGATACTCTCTAAGATTACAGTTAAAACTATATATAGGGTTAATAACATTTGATTCCACATTTATATTTCCCCCCCTCCAATTTCCCCAACCAGTCCATTTACATTCCCAATGTTTCTCATTTCCCTTATTGTCTTTCCAATATCCCTTAATAGAATCATGTTGCTTTATCCCACAAATCTCAACCACCCCAAAAAAATAAAATGTCACATCAACACATGGAACTTGTAGATTGTCCAAATCCTAGTCCATCCTAATAAATCATGTGCAGCGTTCCTTCTATGTGTCTACTTAAAGGAGTAATGTTTAATTGAAAACCATTCTTTAAGTCCTCTGTATAGTCTTTCGTAGATGGAGTTGTATTTGCATATATGGTGCTGTTGGTTTGGCCTGTGACAAGCTAGTCCATCAAGATCCAGGTGATTATCAGCATGTTGAGTGACCTCTTTGCTTTGGTACTTTTGGAAAAATCTGTAAGAGATCAAGATTAAGCATCAGTTCTTAGTAGGTAACTCTGTATCTGAGGAACAAGACCCTTTGTATATGTTAGATTAGTCTACACGGCCCACTTACACCCAGGTTGCCTCTCCCAGGCAGAATTCTTCCTCAATATGCTGATGGCTGGGCAAATAGTACTTGCTGATCTTTGATGACAGCAGCTACCAGTGTGCAATTCTCATCATCAAACTTTGGCCCTTGGAGACAGCATTTTATTTGAGCCCTGGGTGTCTCTTGGACCCTTGCACTTTCCTCTTCTTGTATAGATGTGCTGCTCTAAAGGATATATGAGCATCCTCTACTGTCCTGCCACATGGCTCTGCCTCCCCTTTTATCAGTGGGATCCTTCTGCCTGCCATGTGGGGATATTTCCATACCCTTTCTTACTCTCTCCATGGACACACACCTCTCTAAAACGCTCCCTTCCTGCCCTTTGTATTACTATACCCTCTCCCTCCTTGGGGAAATCCTCCCTAAAAAGTTCCATCCCACCACTTTCCCGAAAGCCCTTCCCTACCCCTTAGCATACCCACTGCAGCAAATCCTCCCCATTGCATGCTATCCGACTACGCAGAAATGGAAAGGCCTTGCCTATACCTAGTTTACCTATTAAAAGATGGCATCCCAGGGGTAGGGTTATATAGTGTATGGGAGTGTTGCATGCTGGTAGTGCTGTATGATTGGCTGTATTGCATGTCTGAATCTCATTGGTCAGTTCCACATATAAATGTGTTTTTACAGTCAGTTATGTATAGCAGTAGCGGGCGATTCATTTCAAAATATATGGGTACTTTTATTTGAGCAGCAACTGGTAATTTACAGTACTATTTACTAAACGTGTGAGTTGTCTGGAATCCAAGATGTCCAAAGTGAGTTTCAACATTTAGACAAACAATTTTCAAGTCAATAATGCTTTTATTTTGGTTGCTTTTGCCTCACATTTGAAATTCATATTGATTTACTGACAATTAGTGATGTCCCGAACGGTTCGCCAAACGGTTCGCGAACGGTTCGCCACGAACGGTTCGCCACGAACGGTTCGCCGCGGACTCATCATTGAGTAAACTTTGACCCTGTACCTCACAGTCAGCAGACACATTTCAGCCAATCAGCAGCAGACCCTCCCTCCCAGACCTTCCCACCTCCTGGACTGCATCCATTGTGAAGCTGCATTCTTAGTGAGCTGTCCAGGAGGTGGGAGGGTCTGGGAGGGAGGGTCTGCTGCTGATTGGCTGGAATGTGTCTGCTGACTGTGAGGTACAGGGTCAAAGTTTACTCAATGATGAGTCTGTGGCGAACCGTTCGTGGTGAACCGTTCGGGACATCACTACTGACAATTCATACTTCGGCGAATAATGGGCAAATCCTAAATCTCTTGTGGCTGTCACTTGAAAAAAAAAAATAGTTCACAATTATACTTATTTACAATATACCAACATTTTCCTCAATGAATGGATAACAAGCACAATAAACTTCAGCTTGACAGACTAAAACAAAGTGATGCAGTAGTTCTGAGAGACTTGTGTACAACTTTAAGTCTAATTTCAAAATCTTTTTTTGGTTTTGGTATGAAGAATCAAGTCAGTTTGTGGAGTCAGAATAGCCCAGTAACGTCTTTAATAAAACCATGAGTCAGCAGCTGGCATAAGCTGTGAATTTTCTAAACATCCCCTCATATCCTGGGAAAAGAAAAAAATGGCAGAACAAAAAAAAAAAAGACAGGGAAAAATCAGCTAGAATTGAAAACAGACTTTCAGTCACACTCACACAGAGGGGAGAGAAGAGGGAGGGGGACAGATACGTGCACAGTGCTAAAGAAAGGAAATTTTAGGAAAAAGAGCACAGTAAGACTGACTTTGTGAGGGGAGAAAACGTTTTACTGTTTTTTCAGTTACCAAGCTGATTTTTTAAGATTCCCAAGTTCATTTTTAAGATTTGGTGGCTTTTACACTCAAAAAGGCATGAAACTTCTCCTAACACATTTTTTTCAGCAAAAAGCTTAAAATACATAACTATCACTCCGATTGCAGGACTCAAAGATAACAACAACAAAAAAACTTTTTGTCTGCAGCTCAATCCAGGTTTTAATGCATTTTGGTTTTCTCTGTGCTAATAGACGTCAGAAAAGTGATTGCATTTAAGGATGCTGATGTGTGTTGCTCAATATCTGTCTATGCTTGAAGACTCCTAACGTTTTGGCTAAAAAAATTAAAAAAAAACCCACCCACTTCTGTGATCACTCTTCCTGGCTTTCTCCCTATTAAATCTAATGGAAAACTTTGTGAAACATTCCAAGGTTCGAGAATTTTAGCTTGAAGACCTCACTGAGAAGAAATTCAGACAAGACAGAAAAAAAACAAAGGCTTGAAACAGATTTTTCTTTGCATGTCTGCTGGAAATTTTAGACAAACAACCGATTCACCAAGGTAAGCTGTACTAACTATTGGGGAAGAAAATGGAAAGTTACTATAGTGTATCTAATTTAACAATACTGTGCTGCTCCACTAATAACTTGTGAAAATTAAAGGGAGCAAGATGACGAGGTTCTATTGTTTTGTTGTTGCAATTTCTCATCTTTGAACTGATTTTGTGATGTCTGTAAGTTTACAGATGTTCCAGCAGTGTGAGTGCATTATTTACTTGAAGAAAAGGTTTATATCCATTTAACCCCTTGATGACCAATGACATGCTAGGCTTGCCATCGTATAAATGGATATGTCTTACCTCTGGGCTTTAATGTGTTAAATAGTATTTAAAATACATTACGAAAGGCCTGGCAAGTTTCCAATATTTTGTTGCAGTTTGCAGGTTACATGTAACTATACCTTAAAGGTACAGTATGGCATTTAAATACTTTTTAGAACTTTTGCTTTTTTGTTTTGTTTTATTTTAATGTACAGAAACAAGTCACACTATCCCACTAGTACGGTGCTGTTTGAACTTTGTGAAATTAACTATGGTCATCATGATAGACTGCAACCCATTTGGGTGGTGACTCCGAATAAGGGATGCCCAAAAGGTAGAACCACCATATGATGTAGAACTACAACTCCCATGATGCTTTGCATGCCTTTAGAATGCATTTATGACAAAGCATCAAGGAGGTTGTAGTTTTAAAACATCTGGGTATCTACCTTTTGAACACCCCTGCTATAGATCATACTGAAGGTTAACTAGAGTTTACAACGAACTATCCAGCCTGATATGTCCAGTCACTTGGCTTTCTACGATTAATTAGAAATGTATTCCACAGAAGGTTTAGTTATCAATGCCATCAATGTTATTTCGTGAGAGGCACAATACTTGTGCACTGATAAGATTTTTAAAAAAACTTTTTTATTTTTTTGACTGAAAAGTGATAAACTGAAAGGAATAAAGACAGCAAGTGTGATAGGAGATGGGCAGTCCTGACTCAGAATGTTCTAACAGGTAGATCCCCAGATGTTGTAGAACTACAACTCCCATGATGCTTTGTCATTCTAAAGGCATGCAAAGCATCATGGGAGTTGTAGTTCTACAACATCTGGGGATCTACCTGTTGGGCAGCCCTGAAGGTAATCTGTGTTCGAGCTTGGAGGCTATCTTCTTAAGAAATACACTTTAGTCGCAGTTTGGTCTTTACAACTGATGTGGCAGCATGGATGCCTTGCTTTTATAGGGTTGGCAGCTCCATACAGCTCTGCTGCCATAAATTGAGTGGGACTGGAACAATCTATTTTTGCATGAGACCTTAAAATACTAATGTGGTGTGATGAAAATATATCCCCATAGGTCTTAAAATAAGTGGGAAACAGTTTAACGTGTACACCAGGTTCTGTGGAAGGTCTTCAAATGAATTCCAGTTTACGATGGATTAACCCTTTGACTGCTAGCTATGTAAGGAATGGACTGAAAAGATAAAGGGATTTTTGCCAGATTGCAAACTAAGCTCCAGTTGACAGCACCAGGAATTAAAGCATGTCTAACAACAAACTCTGTGTTTCCTGGCAACACTCCATGTCTCTTACCTGGCACTGACTGTGATTGGGAGATAGGAAACTCACGTGCTGTGGTGGAAGTACCTTTGAGTTACACTGCAGAGAGTTGGGGACATTGATTTATATACATGCAAGTGTAATGTGAGAAACCACTACACAATGCCTAAAACCGTATGAATATTCTATGCTTTTGCAGCTTAAAGAATAAGCTATTCACGTTTATTTAAGGAGATTCCTAGGAAGTGGTATTTAGGTGAACAGTTAGTTAGATTTGGGTAATTTGGCTAATTATGACACATTTAACAACTGAAGGATTAAAATGTAAACAATAAATAGGATATATATGGCCCTAGCAATCAAAAGGTTACCTAAGTATGTTTCTATTTTGCTAATTAGGAATGAATAGATGCTGTTGTGATACTACATATTACCACTAAACAATTGTAGCTGTATCTGATGTATCTAATGCTGTATATTTATTTTATATCCAATAACATTATTTGTTTTTCAAAAAAACTAGCTTTTCCAGAAAGCTTTTATTACTGTAATGCTGGAGTTCCCCTTGGTTATTTTACTTTTCATTATAAGGAAACAAGAATAAATTATTCGTGCTTAAATTGAAGATTTGTTTCGTTTCGAACAGCAATTTGTCCGACTCACTGAACTCTGAGCCAAAATGGAGCCGAATCCCGAACCAAACAATACATGCAATTAATAGTGAAGTCGCGAACCATCCGCGAACTTGCCGCGAACCGTTCGCGGCGAACTCCGGTCAGCTGACACATCCCTGCCAATATCCGGCAGACCCTCCCTCCCAGACCCTCCTACTTCCTGGACAGCATCCATGTTGAAGGCAGCAAGTTCGCGGACGGTTCGCGACATCACTAGCAATTAATGAGCATGCTCGTTTTGGTTCGTGATTCATTCCGTCCATAGTGCCAGAGAAAAGAGATAAATTATGAAAAAACACGATTGATGGCTAGGGTACAGAAACAAGCCAGGATCATTTTCACTTTGGGAGTGGTTTATAGTTACATTATAGTTTATTATCTTAATGAAAGGGATTAGAGCTCATAACCAGATATGACATAATGTGACACGAGACACATGGTGGGGAGAGAAACATGGAGGGACTGGGGGTGGAAAAGACACATGGAAGGGCAGGGGGGTGGGAAAGAAACAAGGATGAACCGAGGGGATTGGGGAGAGACACATGGAGGGGCTGGGGGGAGGAGATACATGGAGTCACTGGGGTGGAATAAGACACATGGGGGGCCCCCAGGGCAATTTTTATACAGGGGCCTGGTGGTTTCTCGTTACGCCTCTGTCCCCAGTGCAATACTGTTTCTGACCCCAGGGGCTTGAGGGGAGGAGACACATGGAGGCGCTGGGGAGGAATGAGACACATGGAGGGCCCCCAGGGCAATTTTCATACAGGGGCCCAGTGGTTTCCAGTTACGCCTCTGTCCTCAGTGCAATTCTGTTTTTGACTCTTTAAAGTTTTTTAAGTCTTAAAGGAACACTATGGTGTCAGGAATGCAAGTGCACTGGTTTTGCCTGCATAGTCTCGCCTTAGCTGAGAGCATCAATTTTAGAAATCTCTGCCAATCCAATGCTTTCCCATAGGAAAAGTATAGTTAGGCTATTGCGCATGTGCTGCAAAATGCCACACTATGCCAATCAGCATCTCCTTATAGAGGTGCATTGAATTAAATTATCTCTATAGGCAGGGCCAGATTAATAGCCAATTGGACCTGGTGCTGACAATTATGATAGGCCTAATTACAGAATCTTATCGACAGAAAAAACAAATAGTCATACCTTCCAAGCGGCATGTATCTGGTGGAGGCGGTGTTGGAGGAAAACTCACAGGCTGCAACTATAAGAAAACACATACCTTATGCTAATCTCTCGCGTTCATCTTTCAAGCAAATCCATGCCCCTTAACAGCAGTGTCTGCTGAAGCAGGATGTTGGTGGCCGTGGTAAAAGGGTGTGCCACTGATGCAAATCATGTAACCAGAACTGCCCAAAGAATTGGAAAGTCAGCCTGGCGTAAATACATGACAGGCTGCCTACCAATCACGCAGGCTGGCCAACTAGGGGCATACTGTGCAGATAACACCCTGAGCTTGGCATAAATGCGTCCAATGATGCACTCGCTCCACGCTTTCTAAGGACTGTCCCCTAGCACTCACTTATTTACTCCTCTCCTTATCTTCTTGCTAGCAGGTAGAAGCTCCTAGTATATAGTCGAAAACAGAGAAAAAGTGTATGTGGTGAGTTCAGAAGAAAGGGAACATGCCACAGTGTCAGACTGAAGCTGCAAGAGTATTATATTGCATATTGTATTTTGTATATAATATCATAGTGTGCAAAGTCAGCTTTACCTTAACTAATTTCTTTATCAACCAGTCCACACATGTTTTGTTCCCCTACATCCCAAAAATATATATTTTTTTATTAAGCAATGGGCCTATTCCATGGCCATGGGACTGGAGCTGTACAGTCCTCACACTTCTCAGTTCCACAAATGATGGAGGCTAGGTAATATAAACTGAAGGATAACATTTATTTTGTGATTATCTTTTTAAGTGGTATCATTCTAACCAAAAATAAACTGACAAAGTAAGTACTACATTTCCAATGCATATTTTTTTAGAAACTTACAAACTGATTTAGACAGACCCAAAACAAATCAAACCTGCCAAGATAGCAGAGCTGTTTATAATCTGAGTGCTATCACATGTGTAGGTTTAAGTGCCCCGAGTTTTAATTAGAAGTGTAGTGCAAGCTTGTTGAAGTGGTAGAGGTTAACACAGTAAAGGAGTTTAAGCATGCGTGGGATATGCATAAGGCTATCCTAACTATAAGATAAGGCTAGGGACTAATGAAAGTATTTAGAAAATTGGGCAGACTGGATGGGCCGAATGGTTCTTATCTGCCGTCACATTCTATGTTTCTATGTTATATGTGCTCTTACTATTATGAGGTGATCAGGAAGATTTAGGACAAATTGGATGTGGGAGCAACTGTTACTTGGCAGCTCATGGTTTTAATGGGAACTTATATGTTTAGTGAGAACTATATTTTTAGCCATTTACAGGGACATAAGAGGAAATTGTAAAATGTGAGCCATATTCTGAAAGTATTTTTTAAAA